AGGGAGACAGCAGGCTGTGTGGTGGGGGAGAGGCAGGAAGGGGCGGTATGGGGAGTGGGGGGTGAAAAGGCCACCGGAGGGTGAGTGGGAGGTGGAGAGTGTTAGGTGTGAGGGGCGTAAGTGGGTGTGAAGTGGCTAGGGGGACAGTAAAAGAGCATAAAGAAATGTGACGATCCTGCAGGTCCCTGCGCTGTGGAGGACCCAGGATGGGGGAGAGGCATGAGGGAGGGGTGGATAGGTCCAAGGGGTTTGGACAGTGTGGCTTCTGTCCCTACCCATGATCCTAGCTCCTGTAGCCCCCACCAGACCTGGCCATACTGCCAGGCTCCATTTCAAGGATGGTGGAAATTTCCATTTCAGCAAAATCCATTTGTAAAGCCCTAGAGCTTTGAGCCTCGTTCTGCTCTGCCCGCCTGGCTCTGTCTGTCTGGCTCTGGTCTGCCCAGCTCATCCCACTCTCTCTCCAGGCCTCCCTCTGCTCTCCCTCCCCGACAGACAGAGCTTGGGCTCAGGGCCTGGCCTCCACCAGACCACACTCTAACCCCAGAACAAGAGCGGGCAGCAGATCCTGCCCCTGCCAAGTATCCTGGCATCCTAGGATGCTCTCATGGGCCTCGCGGGCGTGGGGAATTCGCACTGTGTTTCCCTCAGCTAGGATACTACCAGCACACAGCCACTCCTTGTTGCCCGAGCCACCCCTCTCAGCACAGTCACCCCTCGGGTGTTGTGACATCAGAGCGGAGCAGAATGGGAAATGCTCTCCAAAGTAATCCTGTCTGGATCTTTTCAATCAACAGATGAGGGGATAGAGGCCCAGGGAGGGAAAGTATTTTCTTGCTCAGAACTACACAACGGGTTGGTGTGCAGAGCTAGAATGGCTTCATTGCCCAGAAGAGCAAAAGAGAACTTAGGTTAATCCTGGTTCTGCGGCAGAGCTGTGCTGTAGTTTGTGCTTCTGCTGCTCTGCACCTCAGTTTGTTCATCTGCCAAGTGGGGGCCGCCACTGCTCTCCCAGGCTCGTGTGGTGACAGTGAGTGACCACAGCCAGCTGCAGCCAGGTGGAGGTGGGTGCAAAAGCCACTGGACTCTGGCGGGAATGACATTAGTGGTAGACTTTGCTCCACAGCTGCCCAAGAACCGTGGAAACTGCAGCAGAGATGGCATGGCCGCGGACTGAGGCTCTGGGGGGAGAGACGAGCTGTGGTCCACTGGGAGAGAAAGTGAAGGGACAGGGCTGGGGATTTAGCTCAGTGGTGCTGCCACCTGCCTCACAAGTGCAAGGTTCTGTGTTTGATCCCTGGTACAAAAGAAAGAAAGTGAAGGGATGGCTTTGGCCATCTCACTCAGGCTTCTAGGCGAGGCCTTCTTCCTCCAGTCCAGGAATGGCTACTCTGGCCTCTGAGTGGAGGGATGGATGAGTTTCTGGGTCTCAACCCCTGCACTGGGAAGGCGTGGAGAGAGTGAGGACAGGGAAGGTTCTGTCTTCCTCAGTCCTGTGTGCGAGCACAGTACCTATCCTGGAAGGAACACCCTTCAGGTCGTAGTAGCTGGTACAGGGAAAGCACCCAAACCACCTCGCCCAGTCTGCTTAATGACCGAGTCTCATGTCCTAGACACACTGCGGTGCATGCCCTGGCACTCGCTGGAGCCAGCGTTAGCTCCAGCACACGCCCCAGCACATATTCCAGCTGCTGCCCTCCTCCCCTGGCCCCCACAGGAATCTCAGGCTCCATCTGCTTCACTTCTCTGCATTTACCCTGAACATCTGGCCTGCTCCTGAAATCTGGCTTCTGGTTCTGTCTAGAGGGAGCTTCCAAAGGGAAGAGGAGACTTCTAGTCCCATTAGTTTTGAGCTAGGACTGGGAAAGGCCCTGAATGACCTCTACCCCCAGCCTGCAACTGCCAGAAAGAATAGGCTTATCAGGACCTTGGTCCCTCCTACGCTCCCTAGCCTTGATCACCCCCTGACCTGTAGGATCAAAACTATCTCTTGCTGCCCTGTTTACACAACACACTCTCTACACAGCATCCCCGACATCTGTCCAAGGGGCGCACTGTTCTCTGTGCTGATCTGCTCATGCATTTAGCTTGTGCTCCACGGGCAAAAATTCCTGGGGCTTCCTAGCAAAGGCTGTTTGGCAGAACCGCATACTCCTGAGGACAAGCTGCTCCTCCCACTTCTTGGTGGTGGTGGAGGGTAGGGAAGACCGAAAGCCTTTGGTCTGGGGCAGCAAAAATTCTTTTGTTTCGGTGTTGGCAATCCAACCTAGCCTCGGTGCTAGGCAAGCCCTGTACTACTGAGCTACATCCTTAGCCCTGTGAAAAACTTTCAGCCCCTCATTCAGAGAAATTCAGTCTAGGAGGGCCAGGCTAGAAATGACCTTCACCCGCAACTTCCCCTTTGCCACTACCTGTGCCCCGCTTCCACCCCCGCTGTTGCCTTGGTCTCCGCTGGGAGAGGGCCTTTTCCGGCACAGGATGCTCTCCATGGTCCTGACACACGGGTCTCAGGCAGGATTGCTTTTTCTGGGCAAACAGGAGAGGCACACTGACCCAGGGAAGGAAAAGGACGACCGTGAAGGGAAGGAGTAGAGAAATACAGCAGAGACAGAGAAAAGACATCACCTACAAAGGCAGAGATCGGGAGCAATGTAAGACGGCCAGGAGGAAGGAAATGTGAGTTTTGTTTTCCTTCTAAGAATGATAACCTTTCCTCTGGGTACTCCGATCCAAGTCTGCTCCTTCACGCTGTGCAAACGCCAGCTCCTGCTTGCTCCCACCTCCCACCACCCCATAGGCGTAGCACCTTCCTTCTCTATGCCATTCCGAGTCCCTCCCGGACTTGGGATCCCTGACCCTAAAGGCTGTGCCATTGCCGTGAAAGTTGGAAGAAGAGATCCCTCTTCGCACTCCTTCAAGAGCACCTTTGGGGTACAGAAAGCCTGTTCAGTCACCTCCTGTTTCCGGTCCCCTGTGAGTCCGAAATGCCTGCCATGCTAGGGGAGAGAGCGATTAAACTGACCAACGACGCAGCTGCAGCCCCCAGGGCCAGGGCTGGAAGGAAGGTGCTAGGGAAACAGAAAGGAGTGGAAACTGCCTTCCTACTCGGTTATGGATGTTATTATTTATTTATTCATGTATTTTTTATCAAGGAGGATATGTTGGCCTAATGAGCAAGGAGTCCAGCAGGCTCTGAGGGGAGGAGATGGGGGTAATGAGGCACAGTCTGCACTCCCAGGGCCCTCTCTAGCACTGAGGCCCCAAAGCCTTTCCTGGGCACCCCTCCCTTGAGCTCCATATTGGCCTCAGTGGGTTTCTGGAGCCTGGGGTGCACTGAGCCTTCTCTCTGGGAGGACAGGTGGGGCACCCATCTCTCTGCACCCTACCATGTTCTGCAGATGCCCCGATGAAAGCTGAGGCCCCCCAGGTGGCTCCCCTACTCCTCCAGAGCCCCCAGCTAGTGCTGCGCCCCGTAACCCCCTACCCCCACAGCTACTCTCTGCTGCTCCTGTTACTACACAGCCCGCTTCCAGTGCTGGTCCCCTAGGTGGGGACAACTCCAGCCTCACTCAGGACCAGACAGCCTCAGCTTCAGTTTTCAGTGAAAAGCTAGCTTGGGACCAAGGTACCCCTGAAGACTTAGAGCCAAGCTCTCAATACAGGCTAGTCTCAGACCTCATCTAAATCATTAGGGTCTGGAAGGAGATACAGCTGCAGTTTATCTGGGAAATTAGGCTCAGACCAGAAATTGACCTCAAAACCAGCTCCTATGTTAGGGACAGTCTTAACCCTAATCTGGAAACGCGGAATAGGCGCAAACCCAACTGGCCCCTTAGCCTAGGTCCAGAGTTTGGGATAAACAGGTGGAGGTTTTGGACGCCAATATCAAAAATAGGGGAGTAGGGTGAGGTGGGTGTGACTGGTTGCTGCCTTTGGCAGAGATTACTGTGGCTTCATCTCACTAGCAGGGGCTACCTCCTGCTTGTTGTGCGGGATTTGAGGATGGGAGCTGGAGGATCCACACCTCAAGAGTCCAAGGCCACGATTGCCATTGCGCTTCCTTTGAAGCCCACCAAACACTGGACCAGAGAAAGGGATTTGTCCCACAGACATCAGCAGAGCCCTGCTGTATGCCAGGACCTGGAGACGGGAGAAGGTCCACAGTAAGCCAGTTCTGTCTAATGCGGCTGGGGGTGGAAGAGTGCGAGTATCTTAGTGGCACCAAACTATTTGGTGCGGGTTTCTGCCAAGTCCCGGGCTTCTTGGTGTTATCTTGTTGGATCATTACAGCCCTACAAGGTACACACTGTAATTGTTCCCATTTTATTTATTAAAGAACATTTCAGCATTATAGAAGCAATGTATATTTTATTTATTAAATAACATTTCAGATATTGTAGGAGCACTGAGAAAAATTTAAAAAAACAGAAAGCAAAAATATATTAAAAGAACATTATTTTCTTACTACCTTAATACCTTAATGTATATCTGGTTCTTTTTCTTATATATAAGTACCTTTTAACTAAAATGTGATCACATTGTACATAATGTTTCAGCTCTTGTTTTTTAGCCAACAACTTCTGCCTTTTCCATTTCAGTAAATGTTCATCTCTCTCTCTCTCTCTCTCTCTCTCTCTTCTGGGGATTGAATCCAGCACCTTGCACTTGCAAGGCGGGCATCAGAACCACTGAGCTAATCCCTGGCCCTCATCTCTTTTAATACAGATTAATTTTCCCATTTGATCCACCAAAAGTTCTTTTTTTTTTTTTTTCGTACCAGGAATCAAACTCAGGACCTTGCGCTTGTGAGGCAGGCAGCAGCACCACTGAGCTAAATCCCCGGCCCCCACCAAAAGTTCTTTACAGTTGGCTTTTCAGGAGCGATATAAGGATGGCACCTGATCGTTACGTGCATGAAACCACGTAGTATGGGGTCTTGCCCCAGTTTTGAGCACTGACCCATTGGAACATCCTGATCAGCTTCCTTTACAACGCGCTTCCTTCCAGCCGTCTCGTTACTTCCTCGGGCTCTTATTTATCTTGTGACTGTATCCCAGGGGTGTTTCCTGTGAACCAGAGGTTTGCTCGAAAGGCAAGACTGATTCAAGTTAAATGGCTGTGGCTGCAACACACGTGAGCTGTGATCTGCTTTGCGGTGCAGCACAAGAGGAGATGCATCGTGCCCCATTCATCCACCCTTACAAGTGCCCAGATGGAACTCAGCTCACCACAGCATTTTCTCCCCACCTTCTTTCTAGGAAATGATGGTCATGGGTTACTCTGGCACCAAATAAACGTTATTTAACACCAATCCGTAATCTTTGCTTGATTACTTTCATATTTAAGGAGAAGAAAAGGCTCAGATTGGGGCAGGCTCACACAATCAGCAAATCAAGGCTCCAACTAGAAATGAGTTTCCTTCATCTGTACCACCATGCTGAGCAGGGCACACACTGGGTGCCTGGCACACATTTAAATGCTTAAACACTTGCCGGGGAGTGGGGCTCCTCTCTCGCGGACTTGTTCTTGAAGAAAAAGTTCTTAGTGAGGCCAACCTGCCACTGGCAGTTTGGTACTTATTATGTGGCAGCCAGAACTGAGTGTTACAAGCACTGACTTCTCTAATTTTCTCAACAAAGCTGCAAGGTATGTTAGTATTACTACCCTCCTTTAGAGACAAAGAAAATGACGCTCAGTGAGGTTAAGGACTTGCCACACAGCTGGTGACCAATGGAGCCAGGATTACTTCTTCTGATCCCGAAACCAAGGCCTTTTACCATTACACTGACCGGGTCCTAGGACTGAAGAGTAAAACTAGTAAGCAAGGTAGGGCCTCCTGGCTGGTTCCAATACAGCCCTTAGCTCTAACAGCATCAATGCAGACATCAAAATGTTCCCTGGATCTCCCCTGTTAACCTCTGTCTGCCAAGTGGCTCACTTCAATCTGAAATTGCCAGAATCTGGCTTGGTTCCTCCAGCTTTTGCACTTGTTAATCTTCCCACACCCACCCTCGGGTCTTAATGTCCCCACCAGCACTCCTCACACTGGGACAACAATCTACAGTTTATGGACAACTCCATCCTCTCACAAATGTATAGCTGGAGGCCACAAGTGCCTTTTGAAGGAGTCAGAGGTTATGGGCTTGGTTTTATAGAGGTGTTGGTAAGAAAGGACATTGAGGTTTGGTAAAGAAGGTGCTGGGCCCAGACCAGCCTCACCCTTGCCCCAGGCAGTATTTTCAAGTGTGATGCAGGTCCCTGAGTGAGGCCAGCACTAATCCCAGAGATGGTGCTTGGCTGCTGTTTGGGAAATGAGGCTTGTTCCCAAGTGGTGCCTGTGGTCAGAGCTGGACTGGCCCCGGAGCAGGGTTTCAGGGTCAGCCTTGTACCCTTCAGCCATGTAAGAGGGCAGGTCTCTGAAATGTCACCGGCACTGAGGGCAGCCTGAGAAATGTCAGTAAATGCTGATTTGGGTCCCTTGGCAGAGGGTGGAGCCAGAGTTTCTCTGCAGACCCACCCTCTTCCATCTCCCTCTTCCAACCACAGAAGTAAGAGAAGCCAAAGAGCCCTCAGAGCTCTAATTGTCTGACTTTTAGCAGATTTTATCAATGAAGAGCTAGACCCACAACTCATGGAGGAAGACAGCAATTTTTTCTATGGAAACATCACGGATTAGAAATGGATCTCTACCCACCCGTCCTATTCCTCACTCCTTACTACCTCTTCCCTTCCTCCAGGTCCTGGAGCTCTAAACCTTTTGAGTCGAGGCCCTGACATCCAGAGGCCACAGAAGCAGAGACAGGGCCTGAGGATGCAGCTCAGGGCTGTGGGCCCAGCATTAGGGGCTGCAGTAAGGAGAACAACATGAGTCAGCTTCCACACCACCCAGTCGTACTGAGAGGCTCTGTCTGTTCATGTTCACCTCTGCTAGGTGCAAATGCTCCTGGCTCCCACCTCAGGCAGTCTTCTCCACCACCCTGGGGAGCCTGGCACCCAGTTTCTAGCTCCTGGCGTTCTCACAAATGCAGGGTGCAGTGGCTGTTCACAGACTTCTTTGTGCTTCATCTGTGTGAGGGGTGGCCTGCATCAGCCCTATAGCTATTATTCATGCCTGATGTGTCACAGGTGAACAATAGATAGTCAGTGAACAAAGAATCTGATGTCCTAGATTAAAAGCCGGGCTGCCCTTAACAGACTGTACTGTGCCGGTAAGCACAGGTAAGTGTGAACTTCCTCACAAACTACAAGCTTCCCGCGGACAGGGACCATGTCTTTGATTCACCTCCGCCTTCTTGGTGACTAATCCAGCACCTGGCTATTGTAGGCACCTAAAAAAAATCTTTATGTAAATGACTGTGTATGTAAATAAATGATCTAGCCAGGCAAAGATTTTTAAATCCTATTGTGATGGAGAAATAAGGTTTAGAAAAAATGGAAATCTGGAAAAGGCTTCCAGTGTATCAGTAAGTAGTCATGGTTTTAATGTAAGAAAACTGGCCTAGGAAGCTCAGAACTCCTGACTTGAGCATCGTCAGTCAAGAGGGGTGAAAGGCTGGATGGGGACATCTCAGAGCTAAGATCCGGGCAGACGAAGTCTCTGTCCAGGAGGAAGGACTTTACTAGAATTATTCTGCCTCCAGGTGGAGAAGCAGAGAAGGCTAATTGGTTTTTTCGGCTCCTGGAGCTGGGTCCATAAACCATGGCTCCACTGAAGACTTGGGTCCTTCTCTAGAGACCCAGGTGCTCGTTGACACAAACTCCCAGGTAACACAAAGAGGCTCCCAGCCTCCATATGCACGTGGCTATCCCACCTGTGCCCAGAATAGAAGGCACCGCTATCAGGTCTTTCAGTCAGCGCTCAAGGTATGCAGGGCCTCCCGGGAGGACAGGGAAGGAATGGCAGCAAAATAGGCCCAGGGAGGGGGAGAAGAGAGCGGCAAAGGCTCAACTAGCCTTCCTGCGGTGAGTTCAATCCCACTCACTGTTTGTGGGATGCCTACCTTGTGCCGGATGCCGTGCTGGGCACTGGGGACCCTAGGATGGCTCAGATGCAATAGAGAGAGGGAGAGGAGCTGCGGAGACAATAATCACAAGGCATGTGATAAGTGCTTGCAAGTGATGTACAGTGAGCTCTGGGAGCTCTGAGCAGCAGGCCACTCATTCGTCCCTTGGTGGAGAAGAAGTTTGGAAGACTTCACCAAGGAGGGTGTTCAGCTGGGTTTGCTCGCTGTGAGGTAGGAGAGAGGGAAGAGCACCTCGGGCAGAAGTGGCATGTGCAGGGGTGCAAGGATGCAGGAGGAACTGGAAAACTTCTAGGTGTTTTTAGCAGAAGGGGTGGCAGGAGAATCCCTGAGCAGGAGGGAGCCTCAGGCCAGAATCTGAAAGGCCATGAATGGTCCTACTAGAGAGTTTGGACTTGATCCAGTCGTGGGCAAAGGGGAGCTATTGAAGAATTTTAAGCAGGGGCGTGATGGGACCCAATTTATGTTTTAGAAAGCCTTCTCTGAGGGAGACAGAATGAGCTAGGACTGTGGCCAAAGGGCAGAAAGGAGGGAATGTGTCCTAGAGACATTTCTAAGGAAAAGTGGGCAGAACTTTTCCTTTAAGGCCATTCTCTTAGACTTTCTTATTTTCCGTGCAGGCTCCGAGTTCCCTGGGGAGGAGGGTTGCTTCCTCCTCTCTCTGTATCTAGTGCAGACTTCTGCATTCACAGAGCTGAACCCACAGGGGCTGACTGGCATGAACAGAGCAGCCAAGGTGGTCAGTACTGGGGAGTCACACTGAGGCTGAACTGGTGACTTCTTCTGACTCAGTTCGCAAGCCCCAGAGAAGGGTGAGGTTTAGCCCAGGACTCTGGGGAAGGCCCAAGGGGTGCTTCATCCTTCTTCCCCCTTTCTTCCTCCTCCCCCTCCTCCCCAGAGCCCAGGCTCTCTTGCTGGGAGCTCTCAGAGCCAACAGAGCTGTGGATGAAATGGTTCGGTGGCTCTAGCCCCGCTGCTGCCATGGCAACCAGGCTGCCTGCCAGAACCACAGTCAGGAGCAGGACTAGCTTTCCAGTTCCAGAACTACGATTCCCAGTATGCAAAGCACCTGTGGTGATGAGAAAAAGCTACCTCCTAGATGGGGCCAGCCAGTGCCTTCCAGCCTAGAACACACACGGAGGCATTCCCAAGGACACAGCACGCAATATGGGCACTGAGAGGAAATCAGAGGTATTTCTGGAGAAAGCCTAGGAATCCCTCCCTATGGCTGTGGCCCAGTGGCAGAAGGCCAGCAGCTGCAGGCAGGCGCAAAGAACAGGGATGAGTGCTGGTCCTGGTTTTACTGCCAGCCTGTGATGTGGCTCGAAAATATTCTCTCCAAAACTCTCTGTGACTCTAGACCTCTACCACAAATGGGCCAAGCCTGTGTGGCTGCTGTACACCACTAATTAGCCTTTTTGCCTTCCCTTGGGCCCTTCCCCTCCTTCACATGGAAGCCTGAGTGACCTTTTTAAAAATGCACTTCTGGTTATATCCCTGTTGCAGTTGCCCACCCCTCTGCTTACATAAAGTCTTCAGTGTTTAAATCCTTTGCTCTGAGATGAAGAAATAAACTCTTTACTTCAACTGATGAGCCCCTGCATGATCTGACCTCAATCCACTTACAGCCTCCCCACTCATCCCACACATTTCAGTCCTTTCAGGCTTTTATTCTTTATTGAAGCCATTCTCCCTCCTGCCGCAGGGCCTTTGCACATGCTACTCCCTCTATCCAGAATATTTCTTCATTATTGCTCTATTCAACCTTCTCCAACTCAGAGAAATATCATCTTCTGAGGCATCCTCTCCTGATCTCTTGTATTAGCTTTTTGTCTCACCCACAACTTACAGGAGGCAAAGTTAATTTTGGTTCACAGCTTCAGAGGTATTTCATAATTGGCTGGCTTCAGCATTGAAATGTGATGGCAGAAATGGCATGCAAGAGGAAAGTTTCTCACCTCAGTGCAACCAGGAAACAGAGTGAAAAGGGAAAAGCCTGAGGAGAGATTTCCTTCAAAGGCCCATCCCCAATGACCTATGTCCCCCAGCAACCTCCTAACAGCCCATTTGGTGATGGGCTCCTCAATGGACTCACCCACCTGATGAGGCCAGGGCCTTCATTATCCAATGTCCTCTCTAGGCCCTGCCTCTGAGTAGGGCCACATCGGGATCAAGAGTCTTTGGGAGAGACTTCATATTTCAACTAGGGCCCCTTACCTCATCACATGACCTTCTTCTGCGCTCTCTGTTGGTACTATGCATCTCTCCTTTACATGAATTGATATGATACACCTCCCCGCAGATCCCAGCTGCCCCTGGGTGAGGCGAGGGAGGAAGCCTTTTTTCCTGCTGCTGCAAGCTTGGGGCCGAACAGAGTGCATGCCGGAGAGCCATGTGGTAAAACAGACGAATCTGTCTAAGCTGTTGTCCTCCCACCTGCGTGCTCACCAGGTGCCAGGCACCACGGTAGCGACAGGAATGCGGCAGTGGATGAGACACACAGGTGTGTCTCGGAGTTCACAGTCCAGTAGCGAAGACAGACCTGAGATGTACAATGACAAGAGCGCTCAGTGTTGCAAATGGTAGATCGAGAGCCAGCAGGTCTGGAAAGGTCGACCAAGGAGAGCAGTAGGAGCTACCAGAGAAAAGGGACGGAGGAAGCAGGAAGGCATTGCGAATAAGGGATCAGCACGCGTGAGGACACTTCTGAGACAGACAGAGCATGGGTTATTTGAGCATGAAGGCCAGGGCTCCTGACCTGTTAGGAAAGTGGGAGAGGGTAGTAGCTGTGGTTTTATGGGGAAGAAGTGAGATGGGATGAGCTTTTTCTTCAACTGGCTGGACCTTGACTGTGATGCTCTTTCCTCTTATTTTCAGGCCATACTGAGGCCCAGCATGAAGAAGCTCAGGCTCTTCACTGCTGGGCACCCTGTCCTTTACCCCTGAGTACCTGCTGCTCTATGTTACGTATCCTGTGGGGGTCCTGCATGTGACAGAGCTGTGAAGTTTGAGAGGTGCATGTTTGGTGGGGTGAGGATGACATGCCGGGGTAGCAGCCAATCCATCTCGAAGCGTAGATTGCTGACAAGTCTAGGGGAGGCCCCTAAAAGAGGGGCAGTGGTGGCCTGGGGCCCAGGGGTGGGTGCACAGCTTGCCTGGGAAGTGAGGCATGGCTTACCAGCTGCAGACACTTCAATGGGTGGAGGGAGCGGAGGCCCCTGGGCACAGGGCAGGGAGGGCTTCCTTCCTCCTCACATCTGGTGTTGTCTTTCTCTTCTTCAAAGGTCCTGGGTAGGGTGAGGGAACTGTCCCCAGAAGGTTAGCCATACTTTTGAACTTTGCCCACAAGTAGCCTGGAGCAGGTGTGCAGAATGACATGGCACCTGGATAGAAAAAAATGGATTTTAGATTCTTTATGTCATTGCAAGTATTCCAAGCACTACCCCTCCAAAACACACACACACACACACACACACACACACACACACACACACACACACACACACACACCACACACCCGCTCTGCTTATCTAAGCACTACCCCTCCAAAACACACACACACACACACACACACACACACACACACACACACACACTCACACACTGTACACCCCAGATCCTTGGTTCTACTGAGATGTTCCCGTGGTCGGGCCCCAGCTCACCTGTTTCTCAGAAGTGTTTCTCCAAGTGTGGTCTTCAGACCCACTGCACCAGAATCCCAGGAATGCTTATGAAAATACAGCCTCCCAGAGGACTCTGGTGCAAGTGCTTCACACTTGCTTTGTTCTGCAGGATGCCTAATTCTGTCCAGAGAACGGCAGACGCATTCCCTCTCCAGAAATGTCTCCTCAAATCCCAGCAGTGACGATGACCTTAGGCATTCATCCCAGTGCCCGACAGCCCCCACCACTCACCTGCAGATTTCTGCCAGGAGCAAAAGTCAGCACAGCCCCCTGAAACTTCCTTCCAAATCCCTGCCTTTTCACACACTCTGTCAGCATTTACCAAGAAGCTACTGAGTGATTGGTGCTGGGGTCTCGAGAGGAACAGGGCAGCTATGACCTCTGCTCAAAGGGTCTTATAATCTGGGGGTCAAGACAAATATAACAGAAGCAAAAAATAAACAAGCAAGATAATAGTAGTAAGTGCTATGAAGAAGACAAGTTATTCAATAAAAAATGCCCAGAAGACCTGTTTGATACGGGGGATCAGGAAAGGAGACCACCTTGGTGCCTGTGATTCCAAGGAAGGTTCTAGAGATGAAAGAAAAAAACCCTTCCTCCACTGTTTTTGTCTCTTTTTTTCTTATAGATGGTTCAGCTTGTGTCTTTGTTTCTGTTTCAACTCCCTCTTTGTCTCATTTCTACTCTCCGCTGCTGCTTCCCTTCCTCCCCCTCCCACCCTACCTCCCTCTCTTCTGCTCCCTCCAGAAAAACTGTAGAAACCAGACCCTTCTGTCTCTCAGGCGAGCCAGCAGTAATTGAGCCGTGGGTGCGCTCAGCAGCTAGACCCGAGAGTAGGGCTGCAGGAGAGGAGCCATGAGGTCAGAGGGGACCTTGAGGAAGGGGACAGGGAAGGGTCTGGGGAGCTTGAGGGTACTCTGAAGGGCTGGAGGTGCCTGCCGAGTCAGGTAATCTAATCAGGGGGTGAGTCACAAAGATCACTCACTCTCGTGCACGGTACCAGCCTAGGAAATCACATTAATTTGAAGAGGGTGTAAAATCCATGGAGAATTCCCCTCTCTTCACCACACACATGAAGATAAACTGTCTTCAGCTTCCAATATGATCTTACAACAGCTTGTCAGTGACAAAACAGCCTCAAATCCTCCCCATTTATCAAACGGCCAATCCTGTTAGCAGCTTAAAAGAGACATAATTACCTGCGGCCTTTTGTGTGATTCTTTACACCAATGCCGCTTCCTTCCTGGCAGCATTCCAGAACGTGAGCTCAGAATTCATCCCTGGTGACTGGGGAGATCTTCTGAGATCTTAAAGTTGGAGGCAGGGGTGAAGGGTTGAGGTGGGAAGAGCTACACAAGCCTTGGGACGCGATGGGCGTTAGCACCGTGGACAGGGCCAGGGCCGCAGAAAGCTGGGCGTGGCCTTGTGCAGTAGAGCAGGACAGGAGGACCAAGTTCATTCACCAGGGCTGACACCTGCGGACTGCCCAGGGGTCCCAGCAGGGTTCTGGAGGGCTAGATTCCAGCTGCTCAAACAGGTAACGGTGGAGGCCTTGTTCTGTGGTGCATCCATGCCAACAGCAGGAGGGTCAGACGACCGACAAGGCTTGGCCCATAGAGGGGCAGTTTCAGTAGAGTTTGCCACTCTAAGACAGAGCTAGGATTCTCTTGACTCCAGAATGGCTGATACGTTTTGAGTTTTTGTGACTTCAGAATCTGGCATGCTGCAACCAAGAACAATAATGTTTCTAGCTAACATTTCCTTAATGCTTGCTACGGGCCAAACCCATGTTTATATCAATTAAGATTGTGTGTCCTATGATCTTCATTAATATAAGCTTCATGTGGACCTGTTCTATTTTCCTGTTTCACAGATAAGAACCAGAAGGTGACTCAGGCTAAGTCACATGTTCAGGGTCACTCTGTTGATTCAAACTTGTAAGTTACTCTCTGGTCTGCCCTCAAGGCAGGCTCTGGCCATAATAATAGATCAGTTCTGTGTCTTTGAGCTGATCCTTTTCCCCCTTTACACTTCTTGCTACTCTTCAGGGAGCCCAGTTGAGGCAGATCTCTGTTCTCATTGCTTTGAGAGAGGGCAGGAGAACCACATGGCATGACCTTTCTGTTCATGAGGAATAGGACTCCCTGGAAGCCAACTTGTTTCTGGCAAGAGCTGCCCTACAAACCCGTGTCTGTATTTGCTCCACCCTCTCCCTCCCTCTCTGGTGCTGGTCTCTGCTGCAGCTCACCCCATATCTTCCTTGAGGTCACTTTTCCTGTCTCCTCCCACTCCCCACTGCCAAGCCCCCACTTGCTCCCGGCCTTTCTTACACATTTCCATTTTCTAGGATGCCCAAGAGAATCCTCTCCTGGGAGGAATCCATCAGAGTCCATTTGGAAACCAGATAAAGGGGCAGACAGTGAGATGGACAGCAAGAGACAGACAAGAGACAGGCTGAAAATGAATTTCGAAGTGCTGTTGAGTTCATGATTGTGGTCAAATCTTGCTGAGAGACAAGGTATTAGGGATTTCTCACAGAATTTCTAGGGCTCATTTTACCTGGCTCCCTCTGTCTACCAGCCCTCTCCCCTTACCCTCTTCTTTCCTGGTTAGCCTTGAAGATTAGAATCCTTCCTCCTACCCCACCCAGCCTCAGGGCATTCATCACTTGGGTTAGTGATTTATCAAAGGTTCCAACAGTCCCTGTTTGGCAAAAATCAATCTGTGAAGAATGGGACCGGCCCAAAGCACCCCCCATTCTTCCTGGCCCCTACCATCAATCTGCCCCAAAAGAGCTCCACAGTTTCAAACTCAGCACTGCCCCCAACCTCAGCATGGGCTTGGGCGGGTCTCTGGATCCTTTCCTGCTTTTAGGAAGAAGGGAAAACAAGAAGAGAGATGAGGAAGACAGAAAGAGAGAGAGTGGTAAGTTAGTGCCTTCTCTTAGCTGTTTATTTTGTTGTTTTAAAGTGAGAAAGTCCCAGCTCTATTAAATGCAATCAATACTTGGCCCAAGAGAAGCTTCCCTTCTCTGAGACATTTGAAATCTGGTCAAATCATTTTGCCCTGATACAAAGTAATTTATCAATTTCAAACTCTTCTAATCAGTGGAGGCTGTGGAGTCCCCATTCCTGCCTGCCATCTCCTGCTGCACCACACACACACACACACACACACCGCTGTGCACAAACTCCTCTCTTCTCCCTGCAACCCTCCCTCCTCTCCTCCCGCCTCCCAGGGACTGCAAAATGTCTTCCCCTCAGTTCAGCCTCCAAGCCAGGTGCCATCCCAGTATCTCCAGCCCAGCCTGTCTGCTCCTAATCCTGCAGGTTTATAGCACTCATCCCTGGAGAGCTGGAGATGGGCCCTAGTCCAGCCACAGCGTTGTTGAGTGCACTCTTCACCTGCCGGCTAAAAGCTGGAGTGGGAGAGACTTGTTTGTAGACAGAGCCCAGAACTGGGGCCAAGAGGCTAGAAGGGTCTCAGGGTCACCAAATTTGTCCCTTTGGACTTTAGCGCAAATATCCAAGGGGCAAGAGAGACCAGCAGTTCTAGAGTGCGTTTTGTTGGCTGAACCTGGGGATGACGTCACAACACTCCCCTGTCTCTGAAGCTGCTATTTCTGCCCTCGAGGACAGGCTGAGTCTAAAGGGAGATTGCGACAGCAGCAAAATCACCTTGCAGCTCACACCCCTGCTCCCAGGGGAAGTGCCTTGAGTCTTTGCTGCTGTATTAGATTGGATTCTCAGCAGGTCTTTTGTGGCTGCCATCTGTGGTGGCCAGATAGGCCACTGACCTTTTAAGAGAGGACACCTACTGAATGGCTGATTCAGATGCTGTCCTCACAATGGACTCCGCACATTCGGCCCTCAGAGGTGACTGAGGAAAGTGACTCAAGCCAGAAGCCTGGTCCACAAGAGAATTTAGGAGTAGAGACAGCATATGAGCATTCACAGACCTATATCTAAAACAGCAGTCCAGGGGCCTTACCTTGGCCTTCAAAGCTTCTCCCTCAGGCCTAACCTAAAACCTCCAGTAGACCTTTCAAGCCTAGTATTTGGATGGCATGCTGGGAACACTTGTGCAATTAATGAATGGGTAAAAATCTCTATGTAGTTCTGCCCCCTATTTTGTGCCTTCTGTCCTCAAATGTGTCATAGCTACTCTGGGACTAGGACCAAGAACTTTGAATAGCTTTGGAGCCCTCGTATCTCCTTGCCCAAGGCTCTGCACACAGTAATATTGAACTATAGTGAACATGGTGCCCTACAGTGTATGAGGTGTTTTAATACTCACTGTCTAATTTAATTCTACAGCAATGCTTGTGGTTAAGTACAACACTATTTTGTTTTTGTCATTGTAGTTTTTGGGTTTTTTTGTTTTTTTGGTATTAGGGCTTGAACTTGGGTCCTTGAATTTGCGGGGCAGGCACCAGAACCACTAAGCTAAATCCCTGGCCCTACAATCCTATTTTATACCAAGAGAACCCAAGGTTCACAGAGGTGAAGTCACTTGCCCCAAATCACACACAAAGTAAATAATAAACCTAGGATCTCATCCAAGTTCTCTAAATCCAGATCCCAAATCTTTCTGCATCATTCATTTATTATATAAATACTAAGCATCTTTATGCAAGTGTTTTTTTGTTTTTTGAGACAGGGTCTCACTATGTACTTGAGACTGACCTGGAACTCACTATGTAGCTCAGGCTGGTCTTGAACTCACAGTGATCCTCCTGCCTCTACCTCCCGAGTGCTGGGATTACAGGCATGCAAAACCACGCCCAGCTTTATGCAACTGTTAAACTTTCTTCATGGCAATCTAAAGCTAGATGCCATGGGGCTGACAATGTAGCTCAGCTGTAGAGCCCTTGGCTAGCAAGGGCAAGGCCCTGTGTTCAAACCCTAGGACCACATACATACTTACATACATACACACAACTAGATGATATTATACCTTTTCTATAGATTGGGAAATAGATATGAAATGATTTGCCCAGGATAGCGCAGTGGATAAGAAATGGAAATAGATTAAACCTAGATATTTTTTTATCTCAAATTCAGTCTTTCCCATTAAACCACACAAAAATTTTTGTTGGAACATTCAGAAAGAGGCTGGCATAAGCCAAGGGTAGGTAAAAAGGGCCAATAACCAGGACCATAACAAGCCTTTATTATGGGAAGATCTGCTGGCTGTCTCCAAACAAAGGAGGGAAAAGCAACATGGCAGAACAGGGAGTTTCTTCCATAGAAGTGTGGTGTGGTTAGCCTGAGCTGGGGTGCAATTGAGTGAGGCGATATTAAGGGACTGGAGGAGCCTGTGACATCACTAAGAGGGGCTTGTGACATCTCTAGTTGCTAGGAGGTAGCAAAAGTATCAGGTGACCTTTCATGGCAGGAAGAGGGGCATGTTGGGAAGAAGAAGACTGTCCTTTGGTGGGAGAAGCCATATTTTAATGTGGCGTTATGGGAAGGAGGCCGCTATTCCTTGTGGCAACCATTTTAAGGCACAGAGCATTATGGGAAGGAGGAAGCTGCTGTTTTATGTAGCAGCCATAATTTTATTATCACTCCCTTCTTGAAGAAGAAGCAAAACTTTGGAAAGTCCAATGTTTGGTGACTGCACTAGGATTTGAAGCCTGCATTTCTGACTCCAGAATCTGATCTCTAGGCATGCTGACCATAATAATAATACCCAGCCTTTATACATGCATATGTGCCTGACCCATACTATCCCCCACAAGCCCTCTGCACCTAATAACAAACTTCTCCCACTTCCTCAGTGCTCTTCACATGAAGGGCTGTAGTAGGCCCCTTACACGATCTCCCACAATCCTATGTGAACCTCACATGACACTATGATACAGGTGTCATCTTCCATATTTAGAAGATTTGGAAACCAATGCTCAAAGAAATTCAGTCATTTGTCCCTGAGCAGAGTATATAAAAGAGACACCAGAATACAGGTGTGATCTCCTTGATCCTGTAAACCACCTCAGGACAGCTGTTCCCTATCATGAATGCAGGTGGGGATAATGAATATCATTTCCTAGGGACTTTGGGAAGTCTCTTGCAGTTGCAAGCAGTCCCCAGGGCTCAGTAAAAGGACACATAAATCTGGGGTTAAATTCTACTAGGAGACAAGTGGGAACCAGGAGTCGCTGAGGAAGTGACAGAGAGCAGCTGACTTCTGAGAACTACAGTGCACATTACTGGCTTGGATCCTCCAACCCCATGACTCCAAAGCTAAGGACTTCCCAAGCCTCCTCTGGGAGGTGACTTCCCTCCCCTCAAAGAAGGACTGCAGCACCACTTGGTTCCAGCCTTGCCAAGATTGCTTCCCACATTGATGGATGAATGTGGTTCTGCAAATTGGAAAAATAACTAATGTGCAACTCCAAGACCCTGCTGCTTCTGGTGGAGATTGGTGGGGGTGCTCTTCTGGGTCAACCCAAGAACTGGGAAGAATCAATCCCACGTATAACAACCCAAAGCAGGTGCAGGGAGAGGCTCCCAGCCTGGTGGGGGTGGATTTACATTTCCTACAGGGTATTCTCTGTGTCACCTCTCATCACCATAATATTTACATCAAATGCAAAAGGCCTCCTTGGAATAGAACCCTGAGGTTGTAAATGCCAAATCCAAGAATGTCAGCAAATGCAAAAGATTAGGTTCTTTGAGCAGCAGTCTCCCCCTCCTTTAGGCAATGCCTGCTGCAGCCCTGGGGGCAGGAGGAATGGGCTCCCTGAGCGCCGCCCCAAATCAAGGAAGGCTGGGAATGCTAAGGGAGCCCAGGCACATCCATCTCAGCCTCTTCCCTTTACCTGATTTCTTGCAGTCTGAGGAAATGTGCAGAGAGGTGGGGCAGACCACCTCATGAACAGACAGTTGAACAGGTGCACTTTCTCCTACAAACCCCAGAGCCTCCGTGATTAGACTGCAGTGTGATTTGCAGTCAGTGGCTGAGTTCTTTACACAACATGTCCCCCACTTCCTCCACTGCCCAGGTATACTTCCTCAGTGCCCCCATGCATCAAACATTTATTGAGCACTTATTAAGCACCAGGCCTTAGGTGTACAATGGTGAGCAAGAGAGATAAGGCCTCTACCCTGAAGAAGCTTATTTTCTAGTGGGCAAGACTGCCGATGATTAAGTTAACAAATAAATAACTTCAAAAGCCCTTCAGGGCTTTGAAAAACTTAAGGTGAAAGACTAGAAAGGGACAGAGGGAGGCAGTGGTTTCCAGGCAGTCAGGGAAGGCCTCTCCAAGGAGACAGCATCCAACACAAGGAATGACAATAAGCCGCCCTGTGGAGATGTGAGGGGCAGCTATCCCAAGCCGTGGGTATGGCAGGGGCAAGAACTTTGAGAACAGAGAGGAACCAGACCGACTGAGGCCAGGCAGCCGGAAACGTAAGTGATGGGGCGGGGGTCCGTGGTTGAGAGGTACACAGGCTTGCTGGCCACAGAGGGGATTTCTGCTAATAGCACTAGGAAGCCATGGAAGTAATTTAGGCAAGGGATGGCACTATTTGATTTACATTTTTAATTTTTGCTTAGGAAATAACAATCTTGGTGAAGTTTTGGCATTACAACCTACTGGGTAACCTGGAGCCAGTTGCAGGATTTTATTAATCCAGTTTCCTTAAGAACTTCTTGAGTGTTGGGCTGGGGATTTAGCTTGGTGATTCTGCCACCTGCCTCGAAAGCACAAAAAAAAAAAAAAAAAAAAAAAAAAATATTTTGAAGGACAAGAGGGGGCGCTAAAAAAAAAAAAAAAAAAAAAAAAAAAAAAAGAACTTCTTGAGTGTCAGAAGGAGGGCATGAATTAACTTGTACAGTGTGTCTAGTACAGTGCATGGTATCAGCAGGTGCATAGTTAATATCTCACTTCATGTCTTCCCTCTCTAATTTTCCTCTGAGTCCCAGCCTAGGCTCCATCTCTCAGCTGTTGCTCACCCAGAGCAGAGGGAGTCTCTTCGCCCACTGGATTCAGCATCAGCTGAGGGGAGCCCAGAGGTAACTTCACCCTGTGCCTCAGCATTTGAGAGCGCAACTCCTGGGAAGCAAAAGATCAGACCCTGGGCTAGACTGCTCAGGGGGCTGTGTGCTGCCCCCTAAGTGGCAGGATGCTTGGGCACATGCAGACACACTGCATTTCTGTCTATTTCCATGCCATTTGCTGCATCAGAATGGCGGGCCCAGCATGCAGGGGACAGATTATCATTGCCAGCTGAGGGTGCGCTGTTCAGCACTCACCTGCATTCTCCCCTAAAAGCTGCCGCATAATCTCTGACCCCAGAGGTTGCCTGGTAGAGGACTGGAAGAAGCAAATGATGAAGGCAGTTTGGAGACTAGGCCAGAGAGGAGGGCAGACAGGGTGAGCCTCATGTTTCCTTGGAGTTGGGCTCACACTGTAGCCAGCTGCAAAGTTGGGAAGAGGGTGACTGCTCTGGAAGAGAATCCTCCGGCATCACACGGGGGCAGCCACACACCCACTTGACAGGCCTCAGGGGAAAAGGCACTTCTGCCTCCCTCCCTGCACTGGGCTCCACAGAAAGGATGTGATGAGGTTAATTAATTGCTTGTAAAAAGTTTATTGGAGGAAAGAGAACCATCACATCTGGGAACCAGAGGATCCTCCACACAGAGCAATTTGACTTCTCGTGACTAATTGTGCATGCAGTGGACAGGGTCATGAAGGCAATAGGCAGGCACAGAAAGGAAGTCGGGCTGCAGGACAACGGGACGAGGTTGGGGGGAAGTCTTAGAAAACAAC